GGACTTGCCCAGGACAGGATGCTGTGGTCCTCTGCAGAGACTGCCCCAGGCTTGCTTCTTTTTCTTCTTTTTTAAAAACATTTATTTATTTATTTGATAGGCAGAGATACAGAGAGGCAGAGGCAGAGAGAGAGAGAGAGAGAGAGAGAGAGAGAGGTCTTCCATCTGCTGTTTTACTCCCCAAATGGCTGCAGTGGCCGAAGCTGGGCTGATCCCAAGCCAGAAGCTTAGAGCTTCTTTCAGCTCTCCAACGTGGGTGCGGAGGCCCCAGGACTTGGTCCGTCCTCTGCTGTGTTCCCAGGCACATTAGCAGGGAGCTGGATTGGAGGTGGAGCAGCCAGGACTTGAACTGGCACCCATATGGGATGCTGGCACTGCAGGCAGTGGCCCTACCCACCATGCCACAGCGCCGGCCTCAAGCTTCTGCTAATACCCCTTGTTAGTATAGTTTAATAAATAATTTAATTTAAAAAGTATCATTTGAGGGGTATTCATTTGGCGTAGAGGTCAAGATGTCTCGGCTCCCACAGTGCGGTGTCAGTGCCTGGCTTTGAGTCCTGCCTCTGCTCCTGACTCCAGCTTCCTGCTAACGCACACCACCACCAGTGCTGGCGGCTCAAGCACTTGGGTCCCTGCCAGCTCCTGTGGGAACCTGAATTGAGTGCCTGATTCCTGTCTTGGGCCTGGCCCAGCCGTGGCTGTCGCAGGCATTGGGGAACCAGCTGATGAACCAGTGGGTGGGAAATCTCCGTGTGTCTTTCTCTGCCTTTCAAATAAATTTATTTTGTATTTCTTAGGAAAAGAAGATCAGAGCCCTGGGATGGGCTGCTGGTTGGGTGTGAGGTGAGGTGAGAAGGGAACAGAGGAGTTAGCATGGCACTGAGGACTCTTTTTTTTTTTTTTTTTTGACAGGCAGAGTGGACAGTGAGAGAGAGAGAGACAGAAAGGTCTTCCTTTTGCCGTTGGTTCACCCTCCAATGGCCGCTGCTACCGGCGAGCTGCTGCCGGCACATCGTGCTGATCCGAAGCCAGGAGCCAGGTACTTCTCCTGGTCTCCCATGGGGTGCAGGGCCCAAGCACCTGGGCCATCCTCCACTGCACTCCCTGGCCACAGCAGAGAGCTGGCCTGGAAGAGGGGCAACCGGGACAGAATCCGGCGCCCCGACCGGGACTAGAACCCGGTGTGCCGGCGCCTCAGGTGGAGGATTAGCCTAGTGAGCCATGGTGCCGGCCAGCACCGAGGACTTTGTCCTAAGGGCTGGGGGCACTGAGAGGCTGCCTTCTGCCCATCTACTTTTCATCTGGACTCCCCTCTATTTAGCACTTTTCTCCTTTCTTTTTCCTCATCCTTTGTAGTTGCCTGCTCACAGGCTCAAGTCAAGCAACTGTGCCGTCCCCACATGCGATGCTGGATAACCAGACTAGCACAGCGCTGACGGCGTCTCGGTCTTTACGATCGCTGGAGTCTCAGCTTTTTCATTAAACAAACGAGGGCAAAGTGCAGACGATTACATGGCTGATAATCTTCTGGGGCTTTCTGCGCTATCTGTGCACTCCTAGTCTCTCTCCAGAGAGAAGGATCTTTCCTACAAGCTTCACTTTATGCTCTGGGGTGGGGGCGGGGCCGGGGGCCCTTCTCTCTTCCAGGTTGCCACAAACCAGACCCTCGGTTTTCCTCTCCCCTTGACTCCCACCTGGGAAATGATGATCTGTCTAAACCAATTCAGATATTAAGAGCACAGATCTGACATTGGCCTCTCAAATGATATTTTAGAGATGTTGTAACAGATTTGGAATACAGACAGGGAGATCTTCCATCACCGATTCACTCCCTGGCGTCCCCCTTGCTGGCCTTGACGCACGTGTCTTCCTTTCAGTCCCACTCTGAGCCGGCTGTTGGATCTGCAGGCGTGGAGACAGCGAGGAGCTGGTGATCCTGACCTCCTGCCTGGCCCCTCTTTCCTTTCTCAGAAGCATGCTCATTCTCTGACCGACTTCGCGGCTCACTTACGTAGTGTTCATTGTGGGTCTTCTCCCCCAGGGGCCAGGCCCCTGCCAGGAACCAAGCTCCGCCCATGGCAGGTGCTCCAGGGGCAGAGGGGATCACTGGGTCTAGGTCACGGAAGGAAGTCAGCGATTTAAGATCTTGAGCCTGCATTGTTGTCGTCTTGTCCTTGGGCAAGACGAATTGTCCAGAACGGGCGGATCTGTCAAGGCAGAAAGAGAAAGTAGGTTAGCAGTGGCCTGGCACTGGGGACGGGGAGCGGAGCGGGTGGGGAGGCAGTGCTGAGGGAGACCAGGTTTCTCATTGTGATGACTTTTAAAATTGATGGTGGTGACGGCCACACACATCTGTGAAAGTGTACTCTTTAAATGAGTCAACTGGATGATATATCAGCATCTCAATAAAGCTGTTGAGATACAAAAAAACCCACAAAAACAAAAATGGTGAACTGTGGTTAAGAGGCAAAAGCAGAAGCCCAAATCGTGAGGCCTCGGCTGAGTTGCCTTACGGGCCTTGGATATGTGTCTTGCTGTTAGTTGAGGATGCCAAGGCTTACCTTGGTGAAGATGACCGGGGCTAATTCCTTTGAGGGCGGCCTAGTGCCCTGGACCTTAGAGGAAGCTTTGCAACTAAGAGTCACAATGACACTGCCTCTGACGGTCCCCTTGGGAGGGGAACACAAAGCTAGGAGATGGTGCCCTTCATTGATACAGTTGTGTTTACTGCAAACTTTTATGCTGTTCCTCAGATGTTAATAAATCCAGCTGTAAAAGCTTAGAGGACAGCTGAACCCTAACCTCTCATTCACCCAGGTCACAGGTGTCACAGAGACCAACCTGAGGGAACTGGTGGCTGCTGGGTCGTTACAGAGGGGTTGGGCTGCACATCTTAGGGGACACCTGCTTTATCACTGGTTTACACCCAAAGATTCATCTTTTTTAAACAAATTTTTTTGTATTTTTTTTTTTTTTGACAGGCAGAGTGGACAGTGAGAGAGAGAGACAGAGAGAAAGGTCTTCCTTTTGCCGTTGGTTCACCCTCCAATGGCCGCCGCAGCTGGCGCGCTGTGGCCGGCGTACCGCGCTGATCCGATGGCAGAAGCCAGGTACTTCTCCTGGTCTCCCATGGGGTGCAGGGCCCAAGCACCTGGGCCATCCTCCACTGCACTCCCTGGCCACAGCAGAGAGCTGGCCTGGAAGAGGGGCAACCGGGACAGAATCTGGCGCCCCAACTGGGACTAGAACCTGGTGTGCCGGCACCGCAAGGCGGAGGATTAGCCTAGTGAGCCATGGCGCCGGCCATTTTTTTGTATTTTTTAAAAAAGATTTATTTATTTATTTCAAAGTCAGAGTTACACAGAGAGAGGAGAGGCAGAGAGAGAGAGAGAGGGAGGGAGGTCTTCCATCCGCTGGTTCACCCCGCAATTGGCCGCAATGGCCAGAGCTGTGCTGATCTGAAGCCAGGATCCAGGAGCTTCTTCCAAGTCTCCCACACAGGTGCAGGGGCCCAAGGACTTGGGCCATCTTCTGCTGCTTTCCCAGGCCATAGCAGAGAGCTGGATAGGAAGTGGAGCAGCTGGGATTCTAACCAGCCGCCCATATGGGATGCTAGCTCTTCAGGCCAGGGCATTAACCTGTTGTGCCACTGTGATGGCCCCCAAAGATTCATTTTTAATGTAACAACCTTACATCTCATACAAAAGAGTTGATTATGTTTACCATATGATGCATACCAAGGGAGGCAGTGCTAAATATGTGTGAGAGACAGTTGTCTGATGTTTTATTCACCGAGTATTTGCCTACTAAGGGTTTGGGTTGGTTTGGCAAGCACTGGGCTCTCTAACAAGATGTGGTATATGGCATATGGAATACAGTTTCCTGTGCCGGTTTTGAATAAAAAGTAGTTCAGGTGGCCAGGCCCTGACTTTACTGTAGTGCCTTTGCTTGTTAAAAGTGATCAGGTGAGTGTTTAAGTTGCTCAAGGAAAGGGAAGAAAAAAACACCCAACAGCCCTCGATGAAGGAACTGGAACCAAAGGAAAAGGAGTGCTGTTGTTTATGACGGTGGGTGGGCAGTGTTTTCTCCCGGAATGAAGACTGTCATTCGATTATGCGTTTCTTGAGTTATTAACAATGAGAGCATTAAGTTGGAATGTTTTTCAGCAGAAGCAAAGCAGGAGCAGGCGAGGAGCGTGCAGCCTACAGGGGTGTGTGTCCTCGGCTGGGGACATTCAGGCTGCACAGGGACAGTTCTCCTGGAAGTGGAGTGGTTCTCGTACTTCGGGAATGACACCACGTGACTCAGGTGGATGCTGCCGTCCTTCCAAGGACGTGGCTTAGACACAAGTTTGTCACGTGTATGTGCAACCAGGATTTTTGTCTTCTGATTATTTCCCTGTACTGGAAATATATTGAACACAAAATTGTAAGCAATAAGTGTAGCTCTTTGCAAGGCTCTTTTATTAAGCTGTTTGCATTTTACTGCGAGGTTTGTGTTCTGTTCTTTAAGGAGAGCTCACTGTGGCCAGTGTTAGTAAGTCTGCCTTTCTACTCTAGGAACTTGAAAACCAGTGTAATGGAATGGGGGCTAACTGGCGTTTGCATTCAGCACTTGCGGATAAACAAGAAGTATGGATGTCAAAGAAGGACACACACTGTGTAATAAGTTATTCAGCAGCGCCTTGTGTTTCTGGCTATTAACAAAACTAATTTATTTCTTCTTAGCAACGATGTAATTCCAAAGCAAAAATTTGATGTCATTTTAACGAGTGCGCTGTCATCGTAGAGTACACGTACAGTGGAGCCCTAGTAAGGATTCTAAGAAATCTATTTATTGCAGAGAGTAAATCCGAGAGGTAAACTGTCAGCATAGATTGATCTGTCGTGGAGTTGTGTTATAAATGCCCTTTGAGCAAGCCCTAGGGTTCTGTGTGTGGTTTTAAATCTCTGTAAATTTGTAGGCAGGTACATATTACAATTGTCTGTTTTTCTTTTTAGGGCTCATGTAATCAAAGAAGTTTCTTTGTTGTGTGTATCTTTACAGAACACAACAGGAATTGAAAATGAATCAGGTGAGTTTACAATAAGAATTTATACAAATACATGACCTCGATGTCAGTGGCTCTCGGTGTGTAGAAGGCAGTAACACACACATTCATTCCTCCCAGTGTTTCGTTTTTGTGTCCTAGCGTCACGTCTGAGTTCACTGCTTTCATGGCGTGCATCTGTTCGTGGAGTGGAGTGTGTGTGGCTTTGGGGTGGGCGGTGGATCTGTGGACCCCGAGTGCAGCTCTCATTCCTGGGGATTTTAGTTCAGACCTTGTTTTTCACCTCTCCCCGTCACTCTCTAGTGCCAGCGTGTTTTGTTTTGTCTTGTTTTTGTGTGTTTGAAGTTAATTTTAAAGTTTCATTTTTAATACTCTTGATTTTGTAATTATCCATTGGTTGGAAAAGGAAGAATGAGAGTTATTTTTAGAAATCATAATGATCAAAGGGGAAATTTTAAGCGTTTTGTCCTTGAAAAACTTGTTCATAGAATAAAACCGAGAGGGTAGGTGTGAAATGTAAGCTGTATTTTTCTTTACAGGAGGGTGTGGGGTTCCCTGGAGAGGAAGCTACTCTGCCCTGGGTACTTGGTAGCCTTGAGGGGGTTCTGATAAGGAGAAGCAGTTATGTGGATGTGGTAGATTCATACTTGCTGCTCTCAATGTTTTTTTTCACTTGAGGTTTATTGAAATTTATGGGTATCAGAAACGTTTTCTTTTTAAAATCTTCATAAACATTTTTTTGTTTAAAGCCTAAAAATGTGAAGCATGTGATTTTTTTTTTCAACCTTAACTTGAAATGCTCAGACTTGAAGACGTTTTTCAACTCAACTCTCATTAGCTGAAGTTGTGGATGCCTTTTTATCATTTGTTGGTCTTCCCAACCAGGGATCCTAAGTCCAGTTTCACTACGTGGCCAAGTTTAATAAATTCAGTCCTGCGTTGCACTGAGAGATGTGAAATTTTTGGTGTGAATTCTTTTGATTTCTTTTCATTGCTTTCTTTATCAGGAATATGTTTATTTTAATGCAGCGGACCATACATCATAAAAAACGAATCTGGTGAACACATGGGCCACATGGTTTCTATTATTTTAAAACTTGCAGATTTACTGACATGCTTTTGAAGGCAAATTATTTTTTCAAATGGTGCTGAGGGGGAGGGACAAGAGAACAGAGTGGATTTTCACAGTCATCGTCCATCAAAGTTCTGTGCACATCTCTGTCAGAGATGTCATTTATTTTCCTGTTCTAAGATTGATTCTTAATGTGAACCTGGTCACCTGCTGGAGCAAGCCCTTCTCCTGCCTGGGGACTGTTAGAGCCGTGCCTCTGGGTCAGAAGGAACCTGCAAGTGGAGTCTAAATATTGACACTGCACTTGTTATTCTCCGCTCAGCAATCATTGACCGAGGTGTCTACGGCACTCACCTCGGCTCAGTGCTGCCTTGATTCTCAGGCTGCACCGGGCCGGTGATGTTTCTGATGTGTTTAGACTTGCCTGACACTCACACTTCGGCTTCAGTATTTCGTTTCTATCACACCGACTTCCATCTACAAAAAGTGTGCGTGCCATTCGAAAGAGTTGTAGCGATTCCTCTACCCTTTTTTTTTTTTTTTTTTGGCTCTTTCACAATTTCATTTTGCTTTTGACAAGTGTTAATATTAGATCCATAGAGGACTGCCTTTGATGCTAAAAGCCAAATTTCAGTGGGAGAGTGGCCTCTTATGTGTCTAATGGTTAGCACATTTCTGATTCGGGTACATTAAAATGGTCTGCGAGTAATGAAACTTTTATTCGGATTATAAAAATTGTCCAGTTTTTATGAGTAAAATGTTCAGCATTTTTAGTTACATTTCATTGCTTGAAGAATAGGAGAGGCTTTCAGCCAGTTCATGGAGAGTGTATATTATGAGAAAACTGTGCGTGGATTTTAGAATTTTTTACACCAAAATAAATTTCATTTCATTTCTTCACAGACTTTTTGAAGTACTACTTGCATTATTTGTTTATACTTGATTATTAATTCACACCATGAAGCCTGTCAGCTTTTTTTTGACAGTCACCCCAGTAGTTTTCAGAAGTTAAGAATTTTTCAGGATAGTTTATGGTTTTCCCTCTTGTATTTAGTCCTTTCATTTTTAGCCAGTGAAAATGGGCAATAAATGCCTTGAAAACTTCAAAATAGCACTCTCCAGACATTCTGATAAAAAGAAATGTTTGAACTTGAACAAGACCGTCTTATAATTAAAATCCAAATGGTTATTTTAGTGTTGGTGCGTTCTCTCTAAGAGCCGCCCGAGGTCTGTCTGTTGTGCTGGACAGTCTCCGAGGCAATAGTGGGGAACTGTTCTTTTTTTTTTTTTTTTTTTAGATTTTATTTATTTGAAAGAGTTACCAAGAGAGGGAGAAGCAGAGAGAGAGAGCTCTTTAATTCACTGGTTCACTCCCCAGATGGCCGTAATGGCCAGGGCTGGCCAGGCTGAAGCCAGGAGCCAGTAGCCTCTTCCAGGTCTCCCACTTACAAGGGTGCAGGGGCCTGAACACTCGGGCTCCTGCTCTTCCCAGCCATTAGCAGGGAGCTGGATCGGAAGTAGAAGAGCCGGGACCCAGACTGGTGCCCGCATAAGAGCGGGCGTCGCGGACAGTTCTGTTCTGGTGTGTACCGCCGGAGTGCTAGGGACTGAGCATTCCTTCAGGGGAAGTGTGGAGAGCCCAGGGCCTGCGTGCTTGGAGGATGATGTGGAGGTGGTCCCAGTTGTCACGCTCAGACATGTCCTTCCTAGTAGTCAGGTCTTCCCGCTGAGCCCAGCCCTGGGGCTCCAGGAAGCCCCAGACCTCGTGTTTTTTTTGTCATTTTTCTTCTTTCTGTTCTTTATCAGCACTCATCTCTTTCTTCATATCCCTTACTCTGTCCGAGTAGAGTCTGCTTGCTTTGCGCGCGAGTCCCTTCCTTGCAAGGCTACTCCTGGTTAGGGGCTGGAGGGGCGCTGACCGTGCCTGCCCTCTCTCCGCGGTCAGATCATGACTAGCTTTTTCTTGCTTTTCTAATCTTCTACACCATCACAACACTTAACTTTTTTGAGGTGTTCTGCTGCTTTCCTTCTCATTTGTGTAGATGTTTTTCTCTGGGAAATCCCTGACTGTGACTCTCTCAGATAGTTTAGAATGCTGTGTTTATAGGGTATCCAAGGCCAGCCAACTTGCATGAAACAAATAGGTTCAGCCTCGCTTAGAGTTTAATATCCCTTGTTAGGTGCTGAGTGCCAGGCAATCTGTTCAGCATGGTGCATGCATTCTCTCTCTCTTTTTTTTTTTTTTTTTAAGATTTATTTATTTATTCTAAAGTCAGAGTTACACAGAGAGAGGAGAGGCAGAGAAAGAGAGAAGTCTTCCATCCAAAGCCAGGAGCCAGGAGCCTCCTCCAGGGCTCCCACGTGGGTGCAGGGGCCCAAGCACTTGGGCCATCCTCTACTGCTTTCCCAGGCCACAGCAGAGAGCTGGATCGGAAGTGGACAGCCGGGTCTCGAACCAGCGCCCATATGGGATGCCGGCACTTCGGGCCAGGGCGTTAATCTGCTGCACCACAGCGCCAGCCCTCATACATTCTCTTAAATTAGTCTTTTTGTGCATCTGCACATCAGGGCCTAAACAGGGGGCTGTGGCTTGTCCGTGATCACTCAATAAGTGAAAGAGCTCTGGGTCAAACCCAGGCCCATGGGAGTCCATGCTTATTACTGCTGTGCCAGTCGGGGCAAGCTGCCTTATGCTGAACTAACGTGTAACTCCAGGGTCTCAGTAGCTTAACATAGCAGCTGTTTATATATTTTTAAAGATTTACTTATTTGGAAGGCAGAATGACAGTGAGAGACAGAGATACCGTCCATCTGCTGGTTCACTCCCCAGATGGCCCCAGTGGCTAGGGCTGGGCCCAGCTGAAGCCAAGAGCCTTGATGTCTGGGTCTGCCATGTGGGTGGCAGGGACCCGAGCACTCAGACCATCTTCCACTGTTTTCCCAGGTGCATTACAGGGAGCTGGATTGGAAGTGGAGCAGCCGGGACTCAAACCACCACTCATAGGTGATGCTGGCGTCTCAGGCAGTGGCTTTACTTGCTGTGCCACAGCGCGGCCCCAGCAGTTTATTTCTTGTTCTTTCGGCACATCTAGTGAGGATCAATGGGCCCTGCTGAAGTAGTCACTCAAAAACCAAGCTTGGTGGAGGCTTTGCCTCAATACCTGACACTTCTGCTTGTATGTAATTGTATATAATTATATATAATTAGTCACGTGGGCACCTGTAACTTCAAACTTGGATCAGGGAGCAGTGCTGTCCCATCAGGAGCCTGGGACAGAGGAAACGTTTGATATTTGGGGACATCTCTAATGACTTGCTACAGCTGCCTTGATTACTAATTATTGAGTCACGCTTAGATTAGATTTTTTTGAAGAATCTTTCCATAACTGAAATTGTTGTCATATCTGTAATTTTCTGTCAGTCTAGTGGGTTTTGGTTACAGGATCTCTGGATCCAGATCAGTGGTCTGTGTTGCTGTTGTTAACCAGTAGCAAAGCAATTTAACCTCCAAAGCTTTTATTTTATTTATTTATTTTTAAAGATTTATTTATTTATTTTCAAAGTCAGAGTTACGGAGAGAGAGAGATGGAGAGAGAGAGAGAGAGGTCTTCCATCTGTTGGTTGACTCCCCAGAAGGCCGCAATGGCCAGTGCTGGGCCAGGCTGAAGCCAGGAGCCAGGAGCTTCATGTGGATCTTCTACACGTGTGGCAGGGGCCAAAACATTTGGGCCATCTTCCTCTGCTTTTCCTAGGCCATTAGCAGGGAGCTGCATTAGAAGTGGAGCAGCTGGGATACGAACCGATGCCCATATGGGGTGCTGGTGTTGCAGGTGGCAGCTTTACCCGCTGTGCCGCCAAGCTGGTCCCCCAAGCTTGTTTTAGAGACCAGTGAGTAGCAATAGCAGATCTGAATCCCAGAGAACTGTGGGCAGGCTGTGCGGACTCACAGTTC